TACCCTTTGTTGTCTGTATTTAAACGCCAGGAGTATTAGGAATAAAATTCATGATTTAGAGGCTCTAATCTCTTCGGACTCTTATGATATTATAGCAATAACTGAAACGTGGTTGAGTGAAAAGGATGGACAAGAATATAANTATATGTTTATAAGTAACTGAAAAATACACAAATGTCAGGACATGTCAGAATCTCTTCAGGGCTCCAAAACACCTTCAGACTCCCAGGGGTTAACTGGATGGATGGAGGGACGGACAAAACATGCTACCAGATTTGGAGGTTTGGTAGCCTGAAAGATTATGATGTTATCTTCTGATTCATCTACCAAAGATGTAAGCTTATCTAAACTATGCAAACAAAGCAAATTTCCTCATCTCAGCAATGAACCCCTCAAAGCTCCTCAAATCATGACTGACCCTATGTGTGTTATGGCTTCCTTGTTCTCATAGTCGGATGTCCAGACGGCAATTTTGTCTCCTTTGGTTCGAACACTGACGACTGCTCCGCATACCTCATCGCTGTAGTCATCAAATGCTTCACCTATGAGGCACAGCAGCTGGGAAGACCATCATCATCATCATCATCAGGTGCATTCTCTCAGACGGAGGACAAAGCACTGGTCCCGAGGGGGGCAACTTCTTATAATTATTATTTTCACTCATTTACATATACAATCATCTTAATACCCTCTTAGTATTCATGCAGGATATTCCAGCTGAGAAGGAACGCCACCAAATTTTGTCATAAGTGGAAAAGCATAGTTTTCTTAGCAGTCTGCCCCCTGCTGCTTTGGGGCTAAACACTCACGGTCTCCAGCCAGAAGCGGTCGAGGTCCGAGCGACGCTGCTGCTTGCTGAGGGTGACCAGCCACCTGCCCCCTTGCTTGTTCCGGTCATCCTCCCACATGGGCTCGATGCCGTCCTGTGGGCCGACAGGAGGTCAGACAGGATTTACCACCTAATCACCATGCAGTCTCCACAGGCCCCAGGACTCTCAGGACGTTCAGAGATTTGAAATGACCATCGAACCAACTCGGCTTCTGATTACAAACAGCCAGAGAAGAACCAGGGCTTGCACAAGTGTGGTTGATTGGTTGTTTGAGCTTTGGGTTACACTGGTAGTCATTTGAGAATTCCAGAATTTTTATGGTTAACTGCTTAGAAGAATTAAACAAATTTACATTACATTAAAACAAATTTGAGGAAGCACTTCTTTACACAGCGTGTAGTTAGAGTATGGAATAGTCTTCCTGGTAGTGCAGC